CTGCGTGAGTTCAAATATGAGTGGAAGAATTAGAACTTACAGTTAGCCTATAAAGACGGTCTTTGGTTTAACATTTGGTGGTTCCTTCTTATTTATTTGTCGATAACTTTTACAAAATTAATGTTCTTTAAAGAACATACACTTTAGGTATCAAATACTACTTTTTGCTACTTACATCAAAATATTATTATTAAATGCAAGTATTAAGACAATCACAGACACCAACTTTTTTTAATTATCCATACAATTAACTGGGATGTAGTAGAATTAAAGTACGGGCCATCATTTTTCAGAAACCTAACTGATAGAAGCAGCGCCCGTACGTTACAGTTCATTAATGATATATAACACTAAGCCAAGAATTTCAATTTGTAGATAAGTCTATTTTGTTGATTTGTTTTACAGCATAACTATGAAGAGGATAAAGGTCGAAATAATTAACATTTCATTAAAGACAAAAAATGACTCAAAACAAATCAAAGACATAATCAAGAGAAAACACATAGTAAGGAACCTGATAATCTGCTGAAGACCAACTCGATTTTCAGATCGGGATTAATGAGATAATACCGATCAATAGCGCATCCAATACTGTGGACATATGCAAGCTGACGATGATAACAGATGTAACGCTTTTGTTTCCGCTGTATTCTCTAACAAAACCCTTACTTCAAGAAGTTCCAACTGTAATTCACCACGAACTTTGAGCCGACAGTCTTCTACAACTACAACTGAATCCTTACAACCTAAGAAAAGGCAAGTAGGATATACGTCATACTTTTTCTACCAATTAGTACTTTCATACATTTTACATGATTAGTGTGATAAGTGTCCTGAGACGTTCAGGTCAATTAGAGGTATAATGAATTTCATGATTTCTATTTGGACAATCACTAAAAATATAATTTAAAATATAAATATTTTAACATTAGCCATTCTATTAACTTTATTCTTTTAAAAATATGACAGCAAGATCTTGTCATGTCGGTACAAAACTTCTGCAGTGTTGTCATAAACAAATTTTTAATGGTAAATTGACGATAACTTCACGTCTACGCTTATTACAGTTTTCTATGGAAAAACACTGAATATGCAAACAGATTTTCAATTAAACATATAGCTTCATCTTCAAAGGAAACAAACTTTCTATTTTTGTTAGGTAATTGACCATATGTTAATTTTAAGAATGTGCTGCTTTGGCAGATTTTGCATGTTATTACTCAACTAGGATATAAAAAATATCGAAGTAAATAGGGATTGTTTTCCTGGTATAAATGATAGGTCATTGATACTTTGGTATACTGTTACATTGGCATCGTTTGATACAAATTGCAAACAAACTCTAAACAAGTACTTTAATGTTCCAGTTACTTTAAAATCTGTTCAACGGTTTAGTGCTAATTTGTTTGCTATTATTTGGAATGCATAGCAACATCCGAATATTAAAAAAAAATTTGAGGTACAATGTTATTACACTCTGCTTTAAAAGCTTGTGGCGTTGTTAATTACGGTTATCGGTCGATTGACAAGTTGTTAATAACTTGACGTTTATATATAATGGCATTTTATGCGACTGTCATACAAGTGAGAAGTTTGGCTAGCTATAAAACCAGGTTTAATCCACCATTTTCTACATAAGGAAATGCCTGTACCAAGTCAGAAATATGACAGTTGTTTTCCATTCGTTTGATTTGTTTGAGCTTTCACTTTTGTCATTTGATAAGGGACTTTCCGTTTTGAACTTTCCTTGGGAGTTCGTTTTTTTTGTTATTTTACTTTTTACACAAAAATAAGAAATTGTGGTTTTATTGACAATGACACAATTATCCACCTGATATCACATGACGTAGATGTTAGGATTTATAGGTCATCGTACGGCCTTCAGGTATAGAACCACTTATTCAGTAGTACATATTTTAAACAAAATAGTTCCTACGCATAGCTGTATCGTTGTCAATAAGTAAAATATCTGGGTAATTTTGATATCAAAAGAAAGCTTAAAGACTTGGAATCACTGTAGAACCCTTGTTAAAAGCTTCTTTTGAATAATGAAAAAATATGAAATTAAGATAGGAGAGCATATTTGCCCTGTTGCTCAGATCAGACAGAAGTGCCTAATTTTGTACTACCCAACTTCCGGGAACCAGTGTGCTCTAATATGCAATTAAAGGTATGTTGATTTTTTCAGCACAAGTCAGGATAAGGTATAGTTTTGACATGAAATGTCTGCCACTTTATTTAAACTTAAGACAAATTAGCTATGAATGCTTGAAGTTGCAGAATTTAACAAAGAACGCAAGGGGGCTATGAATTAGTGGTATTATTCCTTCAACAAAGCTCATAAGACATAGGTTGCTATATAAATGACCCCGACATAAATTTAATATAATTCAAACGAGAAAATCAATGGCCCGGTTTATGTACAAAATAGGGATGTCAACGAGTACTCGAGTACTCGAGTATCGCTCGGTATTACCGAGTATCGATTACCAAAATGATACTCGACTAATCGGTTTCTTGTTAGAATGTTGTTGCTTTCTTACGTTTATAAACAAAACAAAAATATTTAAAAAGATTAAAATACGATTCGAATGTTTGCGTTTAAACTATCATTTAAAATTCCTCCAAACAGATGTACATGTAAGATATATGAACAAGAGCATTTTTCCAAGGCTTACACTTTTAGCTAATCTTAGTCACTCCCCCATCTCTGTACCGTCAGAGCATATATTTCATACAAGTACTGTTAATTACCTAACAGATTTGGGAAATCGCTATGACCCAGAAAAAGTTGACAAGATGATATTTTTAAATTAGAACAAATTCGTTGCACCCTGTGTCGACCCTCAGAAAATAATTAATGGTATCAGTAAGTTCTAATCATCACCCCTTTGTTGATCATTTAATGTGTTTTTCTATGGTTCCCAAATACTGTTGTTTGAGTAATAATTTTTCTATAGATATTAATTAATTACTTGATTAGATTATTATTAGTTTACATAACTAGTACATGTAGTACATGAGCTATTAATTATGGTATAAAATTCCTTGGACTATATTATCTAGTCCTAGGTAATAATGTTCAGGGTTTTACGACCATAAGACAACGACCCCCAATACATGTACATAAAAGGGTATAATTTTGTGTTTCCGTTTTGTAAATGTTTTACCGAGCGAGTACTCGAGTATCGCTCGGTAAACCCAACGAGTAATCGATTAGTAAATCTTCACCGACTTGACATCCCTAGTACAAAACAATAATCGAAAAACAAATTTGACAAACAGCAACTTTGGACAGGCACATACAGAATGGGCTGGGTTTAATATTTTTGTGTTAAACATATTTGATTAGTCTTTTTTAATAATTTTTATTTTTACCTTCATTTGTATTTTCGTTATGGATTTATGAGACTCGAACATCGTTGAACTACTGTTGCCTCTAATTACAATTGCATGACCATTTTCCGTTGTAATACCTCAAGTTGTCATTCAAAAAGTACTTGCTTCAAATGTGTCGGATCGACTGTAAGGAACTCTTACAGGGGTATTAACTGTCAAATTCATGTTCACCGATTTGACTTAAATTCTCATATTTGATTTGTAACATACTAAAACGTAAATCCAAATTACAAAAAGTCTTAAATAAACAATTAACAATGCATGGACTCGATAATATATATCAACATTTCGTGTGTATTTTTGTCTGGACGCCATCTAATTAACCATCGAGATGACCTCCGAAGACTGCCGACGGTCATTAAGCCCGATATAAACATAAATATAAATATACATAGATAGCTCAAGTGCAATTGGATTTTTCTTGGTCTGTTTGATTTCATATTGAAGTTTAAAAAGTATGTTTATCATCGTTTTACCTGTATGAGAATGATTTTTTCTGTGGATAGAATCAGTCAACCAAATGGTTCATCCTTGTTTCACTTTCAATGTTGACATTCTTTTCATTTTAATAGCGGAATACATGCGTAACCCATGTTCAGCTTAGGGGTTAAATTGAAGGTCACATGAATACGGATTCAATGAGGTCGAATTATTCACTTACAAGTGAATAATTCATCATCTATGTTTCTTAGCTTATTTTGACAAAATTGAACCAAATTGGCTGCTAAAAGCGAATTATTATTTCACTATTTCACTTTCATTAATGATTGAACAATCAAAAATCTATTTCTTTTTTTTTAATATCTCGTAGCTAATGCCCCTTTAAATTACTACTAAGACTGTACGTTTTGATTTTGAAATATCAACAAATTATAAAATGACTATTAGGAAAATTAACACAAACTATAAGAACATATATATGCATCCAATGAATGTTATTTCAAAACTTAATCATGAATATGAATTGAATCTGGACAGTGAAGGCAAATAGTTTCAGACCAGGCAAAACTGTCCTTAACAAGGATGTTAGATCTATTCTACAGAACTTGAGGCCCATCTGAATTAATCAGCACGTCAATGAAAGATAAATCGAAAAATAATATCCAAGCTATTAGTTCTGTGAACTTTAATCATTACAAAATATTGGGTTTTTTTTTTATTTCAATGTTTGGGGCCCTTTATAACTTGCTGTTCGGTGTGAGCCAAGGCTCCGTGTTGAAGGCCGTACTTTGACCTATAATTGTTTACTTTTTTCACATTTTGACTTGGATGGAGAGTTGTCTCATTGGCACTCATACCACATCTTCTTATTTCTAATAAATGCAACAATATTATTGACCTGTAAAATCTCGTACACAAATATCAATAAAATAGTTTCTATATTTCATGAGCCTCATTTAATATCATATACGTTATTCTTTTAAAATAACACCACGTTTATTTACAATGACAAATATTTTATATCGTTTATCCGAAGAATAAATATCTTATCTTATTCAAAGATATGGCAGTTTTAAGTATATTTCAAATCCATTCTCTATCTTTAATTAAAGGAAGTAAATATTTCAATTAATTATAATTTTGTGATGTCTTTGCATTGTAGAAATGATTCGAATACAGATTATTCAGAGAAAAATAACAAACCTGAAGATGGTAAGATTGAATGTTTGTTATAGGAAGCATCATTGAGTAGGCGAGACCCTGAATCCCTAAATTAGTCCAATAAGTCAGGTGACTGTCCTTTACATCGTTGAGTTGATCTTTTAACTTTAGGGTTGCCTGTCTCTCCGGCCCTATAATTTTCAAAAACAAATTGTATAGTTATCAATAGGAAATGACATGTTTTACCTACGTTTATGAATGGTCTTTCCTTTACTACCTCAGATTCTATACTATACATATAACATTCATGGTAACCTTCGAATCTTGTAAAATCATAAGAAAACAGCAAACTCACCAAATGTATCATGAACATTCCATGTTTTCTTTCAATTTAGAAATTGTTTGCCACCTCCAACCATCAAGATATTAAAACAGGAATTGAAATATAAAGATATTCATTGCCACAACAAATTGCGATGTCGAATATTTCATTTCTAACTAATTTTGCTAAAAGTTCTTCTCTTTTTAACTCCTTTTCAAATATTTTAATTTTTCGTTACATATGATTTTTGTGGGACAGATATAAAAGCTGTAACTATATATTTTATCATAGGCCATTGGTGTAAGTAACTGCAACTGCATAATTTGATAAAGATCAAATGATAATGGCCTCCTCCTTTGTTTCAACTGAATCAATTATAAATACATATGGAATAAGATTCTTATCAATACGCAATAATTCATGACTCTAAAAATTTAGAAATTCTAGTCATTTTACGTAAACACCAGTCTGCATAAGTATTGAGCGGAGAAAAAACAAGATAATAAGATATTAATTTTAATTTTCAAACCACAATTATAATAAACTTTATACTAGTGCCACAAATTAAAAGTAGATGATTTATAAGTTATCGTATTCAATGACAACGATTTGATGCACTTATATTGTTCTTTGTCTTCAGTTGAGGTTTTAAAAAACTTGAAATCTGTTAAATATGAAAATATTTTAAGGCGTTTTTGAAGGCATTTGAGCTCTTGTCATAACTGATATGCATTATTTGCATTAAATAACAACATTATTTACTGATGGGTAAATTACGCATATAAAACATTTGAAAAGATCAATTATTTTTAAAGTAAAAGGTAAAAAACGGCACCAAACTGTATAGGGTATTGAGTCTATTGTGGGTACATGAGTTCTGTTTTTACTTATGTTTTATTGCCTTTTTCTAACAGAATTAGCACTGACAGTTAAGTTGTTATTGAAAGATTTCTCTTTTTTTTTGCTAGATTGTACAGAAAAATCGTCTAAATCAGTGAGCAGAAGAAACGAAATAAGGTGCATACAACGGATGAATAAAATATTAAAAGAAACTATTCTTAAAATTAATGAAACAGAAGTCCTTTCTATTGAAAATGAAGAATTGTCTAAACTTCTGGGAATATGCAAATCCCTCGGATTAAAAGGTACTTATTGGAAGTTATAAATGTAAGAAAATGGTATGTTTCTTTATCTGAAGTTAAGAAGCTGTTCATCAACAAATTAAGAGGCTTTAACCAAGCAGTTTGTTTTAAACGAGCCCCTTCCCTACTGTTTTGATTTTTTTTAATAGACAAGTGTTCTCTTTACAGATGACATAGTATTGTATGACATTTGATAGAGAAATGGACATGAAGACGGCCATTTGTTGAGCTGAAAGTAATTGAATACGTCTGTATTACACCTTCTCCGTATATTACCACCTTATATCATTACCGTTGCACAAATCTTGAGAATTTTACATATTATATATGTTAGCGGCAATAAGAGAAATTAGGCATGAAGCTTAAATCCTAGACAATAAGCTAACGCCTAGGCAGTAAGTCTATTGCCTGTTTATGTGGCACATCAAATATTGTGAAAACTTCAATTAAATTAGAAGCCACGTTTGAAGCACTTTTTGACGTAAGAGCTCTAGTAATATAAAATATAAAATATAAAACTCGTTGGATAAAACAGGTTTTACTACTACTACTCCCTTTCCTATGCACTTTTTATCATGTTACAATTTTCACAAATGGAAGAAATAGTACAATGAAATCTTGGAAAAAGTTTGCAAAGCCATTATCATAAAAATAAGAAGATGTGGTATGATTGCAAATGAGACAACTCTCCACAAGAGACCAAATGACATAGAAGTTAACAACTATAGGTCAACATACGGTCTTCGGCAATGAGCAAAACCATACCGCAAAGTCAGCGAAATGACAGGCACTTACAGAATGTGGCGGGGATAAACTAGTTTGAAGGCGTCAACCCTCCTAATTATACAGTCTATAATAAGGATAGGCTGCTATGACGTATTTCTTTGTGTTTTTTCCCCCAAAATACCACACAGTTACTTTAAAAAACTTTGAAATTTCCCTCATCATTTTAATTACCAGTCTTTTAAACCTCCAAATACGAGTAAGTTCTGTTTTGAATACGAAAAAATACTAAAAATTGAAGATCTTTTAAATTACTTTATATTAATATTTGGAATATATTATTTTTAAAATATTATTTATCAAGAATATTTCACCGAATGTGCATGTATTTGGAAGATAAGCAAAAATCCCAAAGTTAAATTATTGCCTGAAATGATGTTCGGCAATAGGTTGAATAATCTTCATCAGATTTCAGGAAATAAGCTTAATGCCTGAAAATTTCAGGCAATAGCTTAATGCCTAGGCGTTAGCTTATTGTATAGGATTTAAGCTTAATGCATAATTTCACTTATTGCCGCTAACATATATATGTCGAATAACAACACATATACTTCGTCAGTATGATGTAAATCAAAATGGAGTCTAATTAATCTATGCTGATACAAATCTTGAACGTAATGAAAATTAAAAATCGAAAAAAGCTTGTATAATGTTAAAATATGGAAGTTCACGCAAATTAAGTATTGACAATAGAATATGCTGTGTATGTATATGTTACAGTACAAATTTGAATTCAGTAGGATCCAGAATGCAAATTTAAAAAATTGAAATTCCAATATCTACTGGTATGAATTGGGATATCCGGATTTGCACCAGGAGGATTCTGTATTGTACTTTGATAGGCCACTAGTCACATGCACACTGTGTAACGAATTTATAACGACTATATCTAAATGTGGCTTAACGCCACATTTAGATATAGTCGTTATAAATTCGTTACACAGTGTGCTAGTGACCTAATAAGATATATATGGGGTAAGTAAATTTCAAATGGAGAGCTTCGCTCTCACCCCATTTGGAATTTCTTGACCCCATATATATCGTATTAGGTCACTAGCACACTGTGTAACTACTAAAACAGAGTTAGTATGATTCTGGATTATACTGGATTTTTTTTATAATGTATTATTTTTACTTAATTGCACTTAATTGGAAAGTAGAAAAACAAAATAAATGATACTAAAATGCCACTTTCAATACTTCATTACAAAGAAAATATGTTAAAATGCATAAACGTTCGTGAAATTTTTTATTTGCTAATATTTTGTTTATAGTACTTTCATAAGCTTTGATTTGTACTGGATTTTAATTAGCATAAATCAGAATTTCAATGTCTACTAGTAGATATTGAAATTCCGATTTGTACTGAGAGGATTCGGGATCCTACTGATTCCAATTTGTATTGTAACGTATACATCCCAAATGTAACAGCTAGTGCAACCAGCTGTTGAGGTTTCATAGTGCTACAGGATATGAACTTCACCTTTTCGTTGACCCCATTGGGTGCCAGCTTTTTTAATTTAACTATCGAAAATCTTTCCCGAGTGAATTTATCCTCCCTATATCATACAGTGTTGTGGTCAATGATGGTAATAGTCAGTCGATTGAGATACAATGTATGTCTTGGTGTGGTCAATGGATCTCAAATGTCGACTGGGGGAAGGTCTGACTTGCAATTATAGTCACTACGACGACCGTTCATACGCTTGTGAAATGGCTGTTCTGACTCACCAACATACTGTTTCCCACATTCACACTTTAGTAGATAGACAGAGTTTGTAATCTAGCATTAATATTGCAAAATATTGTGTATTTCGTACCAGTGGAGTGACTGTTAAAAGTCTGGGTATGCAGTTATTGCTTGCAAGTCAGACATCATTTGTTCTCACAACCTTTAAAAGAGCCTGCTGACAGAGAGTCTGGTTTGAGGGATAAATCAGCCCTTACCAAATCTTTTGGCCTATGGAAAGCCAATATTGATGATTCGGGGAAGATCCTAAATAGTTTAGGGTGTTTTTCGATTTCTTTCCATGATACCTTTGACATGTAATGTACAATTTTTCATTTTTATCAAAGTTTGCAATTGTTGGAAGGTTTAAAAGTCATGAAATTTACCAGATTCAGGTTTTTGAACATAAAACTTCTAAAAATAAATATCGCGTCAACATTATACTGAAATTATATTAGGGAAATAAAGTCGAACATTAAAAGCTGAAAACGTGAACTGATTTATTTCTTCCTGATAATAAGAATGCAAAATTATCAAAACATGTAAAAAAAAATAATAAAAAACGTTTAATTTTTCGATAACAGTATTATATTCATCAATATATTTTTTTTTCCGAGTTAAACGGATTTTTTTGGCAACGTATTGTTCTTTTATTCGGGGCATAACGTATATACGATCACGACTGTCAAACATTAAAACTTTCAAAAGCTAAAACACAATTAATTCTTTCCCTTCCAGATCATCGATATAATTTTTTATTGTAGCCCATAATTGTCATATGTTGGGGATTTTTCATTTGTCTAACAGATTTTAATGAATATGCTCTCCAAACAATTATATTATAATCAATTTATGTAACCTTAAATCAACTCATAACCTGTCGAGTGCCCAAATACAGATGTCAGCTGTCTGGATGCTATGATTTTCAATCATTATTGAAACGATGATTTTGACAAACATTAACATTCTAATTTGATAATTCCATTGATTAATCTTTAAAACGTAAATTACACAACGTTTTATTCCCTAAAATTGATTTAGAAAGATAATTCTTCTGAACTAGTCTACACTTGGTTAGCATTCTCAAACACGTAACATTTTTATGAACTCAGAATCATATTCTGCTTTGAACTATGAACTGTTGGTCATGCAGAAAATTATAATATTTATCGTTTAATATTTCAGTTACATTGACATTTTAAATGCATATATATGATTGAATTATTTTAATACAAATAGTAAATTCTTGGTTCCTATCGAAGTATTCCTTAAATTGACAGTACACTGGGTTTTTTTTTGTTAATGCAATCGTTATGTTTTCTATATATATATATGTTCTATCAATTCACTTATTGTAGAGGAAGAAATAAATTGTATCATTCAAAGAGGATTACAAGGTATGACCTTTGATAAAATGGCTGAACAGCTTTTAGTTAGGCTAATGCAAATTTGCTATATATCGCACAATGTGCATGTTATTAACGGCAACGCCAAAATAACCATGGAAGTATTATATTGACTATGTTACTTCCATGATATAACTTTCATTTCTGTTTTCTTCTAAATGGGGTTTTTTCGTCGTATGTCGTAATGGCAGATAAAGGATTTTTAACTCCCTTTAAAAAGGTATTTGTGTCTTATTATAGTCCGTTTCTATGTATGTTGGCGTTTGTTTTTGTAGCAGTTCAGTGTTTATGTTGTTCCGTTGTTTTCCTCTTATAGTTGATGTGTTTCCCTCGGTTTTGGTTTGTGACCTGGATTTGTTTCAGTTAAATCGATTTATGAATATTGAACAGCAGTATACTACTGTTGCCTTTATTTATTTATTCGTTTTCAATAAATTAACTTCTTACTCATTTACTAAGACTTTACATTGCTTACGCTTTTGAATAGAATTTAAACGCATTTGAAAATTCTAGGTACATGCATGATTGTGAAACATTTTTGATTGGCCTTTGATACCTGTATCAACTATTATCATGGATTGACAACTGTGCTGAACTAATAATTCATTAATAAAGAAAAATTTGCATAGTTGAGGTAAATGTAATGAAAACAAATTTTTTTTTTTGTAAAAAAATAATAATATTTAGTACGTCCCAATCTGTTTATAAAAGAGTAACCTAAGTGATAACGATTAATCAGACATAATGAAAAATTAAAAACTTCATGTGTGCTGAGCACTATGGCATGTGTCCGGTAAACATAAACAAATCTGTGTATGCAGAAACAGTCTTATAAAATGATAATGGGAAGGGATGGGATATTACTTCAGATACAGATTGAGTGTTGCACGTCCAAGTCTAGCTTGTAAAACCGTTAATTAATTAAAATACAGACGTTTTAATGTTTCTCATTCATTTCATCAAAATTATTTACTTGATAATTAATTTGTTAGTGTCTATCCTCCCCATCCCATAAAAAACGACAACCCCCAAAACGAACAAAAAACAAACCAATACAACCTGACCTTTGAAACGATGTAAAAAGATATTTTCAAACAAAACGATGAGTGTCACTGATATATGATCGGAATGTTATGCATACAAACTTTAGTTTAACATTTTTCGGGGAAATTTTTCTGATAAACGTAGCTAGATCTAACTGGAAAGTTGTTTGCGATATGTGTTAGTGCCATTTACTTATATTCGTGGCTTCCAACCTCCTTATATCGAATAATAAATAATACTCACTTCTAAAAGACTCTTAGTTTAAAAATGAGGAGATGTTGTATGATTTCCAATGAGACAACTGTCTACCTGCATTAAAATGAAGTGGTAGAAAGCAATTATAGGCTACCGTACGGCCTTCAACAATGAGAAAATCTCATACCGTATAGTCGGCTATAAAAGGCCCCGACACAAAAGTGTGACACAATGCGAACGAGAAAACTGACGGCCTAATTTATAACAAATCAATTTACGAAAAACAAATATGACAGACATGAACCAACGGCAACCACTGTACTACAGGCTCCATACTTGGAACAGCCACCTAACGAGTGTGGCGTGGTTAAACATGTGTGTGAGCGCTCAACCCTCCCCTAACCATGGGACAGTGGTGTGACAGGACATCACAAGCACAAACTGTAAACATCAGTTGCAATTAGCTTAACTCAAAAGATCGGTACGATGTACAACATAAAAACAATAGACACAAAGTACCGAAATAAGAGTACTCGCAGTTACTGAAAGAGTTCAAAGCCAATAATCACTAATAGATACAAGTAAATCATGTTCTCCCCGTGTATTCATGTACTACCTATAATTTTTATATAGGATTAGACACCGACTTCATATCCATTGTGGCCGTGTGCTTTGGGCATGTTTTTCTTTCTTTCTGAGGACAAACACTTATTTTCAACTTTGAAAAAAAATAACAAACCACCACTGCTGTTGTTTGTATTTGTGTTTACTAATTCTAAATTGATGAAAACAAACTATGTTTTAAGTCTGCATTTCTGAAACAAATTATTCCATTAGAAATTTTACATTATTAGATGATTTCGTCAAATATATTTCAGACGATAATTTAGAACATAAAATCGAAGAAGTGGCGAAGAATAAAACCAAGCTTCCAGAGTGTTTGCGGTATGAATATTTTGATGCAATGGTTTACTACCTCGAGTCAGATCGGAATGTGGCAACAGAATTTTGCAAACAGTTGACATCTTTGGAACTAGAACATCCACTAAAACCGATCCTATACGACGATTCTCATTTAGATCATGTTACAAGTTCAAAACTCGAACAATTACAGCTGACTTGCGATAATTCTATGTTCATTTTTGTACTTGTTACTGAAACTTTTATTAAGAACAGAACATTGCCAAAAACTGATGACCAATCAACATTAAATGGTAAGGATAGTGACAAGTCAGATAAACTTGGAATTGATAACGAATTTAATCGTTTTTTCGATGAAATAGTTTATTATTGTGGTACGGAAAACAAAATAATACCTGTAAGAACAAAACAAGGTTTGCCACTACCATTTGGAATAGGCGCTGTGAAAGCAATTGATTTCTATAATCAAGACGACCAATACATCAAAGGGCTTAATCATCAATTTTCGAAAAGTGACGAAGAAAGACGAAAAAAAAAAACACAATTCGAGAAACAGTTTGAATGATTATCAAATATGTCTATTCCTAATATTGTTTAAAAAAGGGGTCACTTAAAAGTATAAATTAAAAGAACAATACAAGAAAAACACAATGCAATGAATGATGTATGCGCCAAAAATTAAATTGTATGCAAATCCGCTTAAAATCGGTCACTTTGTAATACTAAAATGTTATGTTATAGTGAAACCATGTGATCACACCATTCTGAAAAAAGGGTTAATTAAAATCCTCATCTAGATTTGAAAATTACCTTTATATTAACGAAATACACACAAAGATTTAAAAGACCCCGCAAATCATCAAATAGTCGATATATGGTCCAAATATACTAGTAATCCCTAGTGTGGAAAATGTATTACTTGCCATTTTTTTCATACACATTTTCAATTAATTACTCCTTGTTTTATGTCTCAAATAAAAAGTAGGGAGATGATATTACACTTAAAAAATTAACGGTACGAATTTTAAGGTTAAGTTGTAATTTGTTCCAGTTAATATAAAATTAGTTCGTCTGAAGCTGTCAAACTGAATTACCTCTGAACTTAAAATTGTCCATATTTTAGTTAGAGCTGATGAAGTTTTCTATAATTTTTTATATGACTTGTCCAAAAAGTAGTACATCACACTTTAAACATATTATTGGGATAAAGCCGGTGAGATTTTTTTAATTTGTCTAAAAGAAATGCACTACGAAATAAATCATGTGTTCTCGGGCCATATGAATACTTCGAACCGTATATCGGTCTTAAAATTTTGGTTCCTTCGGCGTCGTGTCGTCGTTAACATTTAAGTTCAGTCTGGGGTAAAATTGTATAGACATAAAGAAATCATTCAAATCAAAAGAGAAAGTAAGAGGTTCACATTGACATTATGTTATGAAGAATTCGTTAAAGTTTTATTGGAATCAATTCAATGGAGCTTCTTACTGATACATATATAGTATCCCCAGCCTGATCGTGACGAGATTTATTTACAGAAGTAAACTTTCCCCACAACATCAAATAATACAGTGCAACAAAATAAACTCGTCCTAAAAAACAGTCACTCTGGATGCCGCATTTTCATTTTCTTTCGCCCACCGTGTGAGACCGTAACGGATAGTCAAGATCGTTAAACACCAGTTATTAAGTAGTTGACGTTGTCCAAAATTTTGCACCAGAATATCCTTATATATAACTAACTTACGATTTATGTATTTTCCTTGTACATTTTCCCTTCGTCCTAAACGTCTGTCCGGCAATGTCCTTTAACGCGACCAGCGAAAATCAGATTCAGGTTAAGAATCTGAGCAGGTGTACTTTTTATCGACAGCGAATGCCTCTAAATATGATATGGACCACACGCAAACTGTTCAACAACTCTCATGGTATGTAAGTGTCCGTCCTTTCAAATTGTTACACATTGAGTAAAATGTCATGATTTATGAATTGCTTTTTTTTAAGGATTGGCTTACAATGATCTCAGTGATATACCTTATACATGTATGTAATATAATAAGGAAATATGTGATACATTCTATTTGTGATTTTCTGTACTATATTCCATGTTGCATTGTGTACGCATATTTTGTTCTTATATATATTTATATTCACTTGTACATGATTTATTGTAAATTAATAAGAGAAATGAATGCTGTTTTGTTGAATTCATACGAAATGAAAACAAGTGACCTTCACATTTCGTATGAAGCGCTGAAGCGTTTCTTGCTTAAAATGTTATCGTCTCTTGCCTTTATTTTGTATAAATTTTAAAAAACATGACATGCAATTTTTATATTTACAGACCATCGAATTAAAAAAAAATGAATCTGAAAGTAAAACTTTAAACATTGTCAAAAACTTCAACAAGTTGTCTAATGGGATGAAAGCAGTATCATTCAATTATAAGTAATATGCCTGACATCTTCATTATGAAGATGTCCATTCCAAAGTAGATAGCTCATAAAATATTAATCAAATTTCAATAATTTTATGCATGAATATCAAAGAGAATATTTTTTGTTACATATTTCTATTCATACTTACAATATATAATGTAAACTGTTTTTTTTAAATGTTAAATTTGCATATTTTTTAACATAACCGCTGGCACGAAATACACGAACAATGTGTAAATTAGTGTTGATATATTAATTCTACTCTTGTGTTGCTTTTACATCAATTGGAAACTCGTGACGGAATGAGGTAATTCGGGGTTTTTTTACAAATAAAAAAAAGTATTATATGAATTCAACACCAATTGAAAATATATAAAGATACAAAATGATAGTATGTTGTTATAATCTTATGAAGACGTACAGTAATTACATTGTCTTTATTGTCATGTCAAACCACCTACACAGTTCGTTTCGTCTAGTATGGAACAAGCCTCTGATCACAACATTTTGATATTGGGTACAATCTCATTACCAGATACATAATAGCCAAATAGGACACTCTTCTCATATAGCTTCTGAAATGTATTTGAATTAGGACTATATGCATCATTAAATTTTCAAGAAGATCAATATGATGCGTTCTTCTGCGTACAAATGAATCCACAATTGATCGGCTACCACACTCACTCACTAAAACACGCCTGATAATCTTCCTAAAATTCAACAAAATGAGCATGAGAAAAACCTGCGGCACTTCCTTGTTGTGATGATCAGGTGATGTTATCGATATCGGCATCTCAAACAGACAAACCAGGAGAAATTAAATTGTTTATATGGATAACTATATATAAGATAGACATTTGGAACATAATTTGCCGATATCGACTCGATATCGTCGATATAGACATCTTAAAAAGGCGAACCAGGAGAAACTAAATTGTCTATATATAAAGATAAATGTAATATGTCGATGTAGAAACGATAGTGTCGATGTCGTCGATATCGACTGCTTAAACAGATAAACAAGGAGAAACTAAATTGTCTTTATGGACAACTTTATCTTAAAACATTTGGAACATAAATTGTCGATATCGACCGATACCGGGAATCCTATCAACAGCCCCCCCCCCCACTCGAGGCAAGCACTCTACAACGTAATCACCAAGGCGTTCAGGGATGCATTTTTCCCAAATAACTTTATCTTACCTTTTATATTCTCTGCTTTCAATTTCTATCCAATTTATTTACATTTTTGCCTGGTAAATATGATTTGTAGGCTTGTAAAAGATAAGTTAAAATGCTTATTTTTTTTATACAATGGGTGCAGAAAGGGATAAATTGACGAAGAATTAGAGAAATATATTTATCATATACTTATAGAAAATAATGGTATAATTGTACCCATGATAAAACTTATTTGTACATATATTTATTCATTAAATTTGAAGAATTGCCTTAGCCGTGTGATATGACTTTTGTTATCAACTGCTTCCGGTTTATATCAACTGCTTCCGTTTCATATCAACTGCTTCCGGTTTATATCAACTGCTTCCGTTTCATATCAACTGCTTCCGGTTATTATCGCATGCTTTTCTGTAACGTTATCGCATGACAGTTCGACGTCATTCGGCAAATTCCGGAAAATGTACCTCAATGGTACGTTTTTTTTAGTAAAACATAACAAAGTTGGAGAAAAAGAAAATATTAATAATCAGGAAAATATATTATTAAAAAATACAAAACAAATATTACAACAAATGCATTGTTTCAAAGTTTTAAAAATAGTTTTGTCTGTATGTCTTCTGCTGAAGTATATGATAAAAAGATAATATCATGTCGTTTTTCATATCAGACCCCTTATCAGCCCATGGTCAAAATCATCCCTCGAGCCTGTCGGCTCTCGGGCTGATAAGGGGTCTGATATGAAAAAGGCCATGTTATAATCTATATATACAACTCGCCTAAACATCAGCCCAACAATGTTAGATCTGTAAATTTGCTTTCGCAAATTTTTTGTTCTTCCCTCGCCGGGAATCGAACTCATGCTACTGAGATATCGTGACACCAAATCGCCTGCAAGGTATCCGACGCGCTAGACCACACGACCACCTAGGCTTCACAATAATAAAGTTTTTGGTGGCCGGGTGTTACCTTTCCTCGTCAGTTTTAATCTAGCGTCGTAATACAGTACATGATATAAAAGGCATGAAGATAGAATTGGTATATATTTATATATATATAATTTTTAAAGAATTTTAATATTATTTTTTTTAACCAATCCCATCGCTCCTCTGATCGTCCTCATCTGTTATCTTATCTACCGCTGCATCACCGGCTACGCCGTATTCATAGAACCAAGCATTCGAACCAGGACAAAAATTAACATGGGCTCTGTAGCCTAAGCTTCTAAACTTTGGGTTCAGTCCTTACCTTATCTGAAAATGTCCATGGTGCTTATGTTAAATCGTTCAAATTGCTGCAGGTTGTTCCCTAGATATTAAATGTTAAGAGTTTTCCTGCGAGCCAAATCAACCATATCCATAGATAAAAAGCTTCAATAATCGGTTATTCATTCTAAGCCGTGTTACTAATGTTGTGCATTACACACGGTGTCTTATAAGCATGATTATCTTACCTGTTACCGTCATGCGTATCAACGATTATCAGTCTTACGAAAGTGTTGGATTTTAATGAAAACGACCAGCTACACACTACTATAAAGAAATAATAACTTATACGTCTTAAAAACAGCGCAACTTTTAAATGAAAAAATAAGTAATATATAAATTGGTCCAAAACATCCTTCATCAGTATCATCAGCTAGCCCATGCCCTATGCAAAATGACGAGTCGACGGAAGTGTTGTATCAACCGTTTATATACCTTTCATTAAAATTAAAACGACATTATGCCCCCTGGATGACACCAATATCTTGTTTTTATCATAGACTACATGTGAGGATATTCTGATTTTAGTAAAGCGGCATACCTTGAATTATTGTTGGAGAGATACGGACCGTTACAATCATTATCAGGAGGATAGTCATTATAAAAGCAAAAACTCTTACCAAATTATTTGAAGTAGCAAAGCCATTTATATTTAAGAATCCTAAATATATCTAATTTTCTATTTAAAGTTCGAAACTATTCGAAAATATTAGTTGGATCGAATTGAATTCAGCGCACAACTCTTAATGCAAGAGGGCTCATTCGGCAAATTTTCCTCGTAGTATGTCCTCGTTTGCGGCATAACTGCGTGAAAAGGATCAACACTTTTTTGTTCAATTCTTTCTTAACATTCTAATTTATTAGTTGCAGTCGTGGTCATCGGAATGTTCATAATGACCGTGCGGAAAAAAATATTAAGAACATTTCTGATAAGATTCAAAATGTTGACGGATGATGAATGAAAACGGATGCCAAATGGTGACTGCAGCCTCTGTAATCTATTGTGATGTTGTAAATCGAAACAAAAAATATTTTCACATTATCTATCTTATATGCTCACATTTGTCATCAATTATTACAATCTACTTATAAAGAATATCACAGAAAATCCCCCTTTTATTTGGAACATCAATTCAATTGGTAGTTGTGTGCGTTTCCACTTGCAATTTATGTATTGTAACTGTTAAATTGTGACACATTTCAAGTATGATGTCCGCTTAATATCATTCTAATTTTTCACTTTATTTACTTTTCCTGTTTAACATCATAATCTATAAATTATCTTATCCAATGATATATTGAAAAATTGTTTAAAGCACGGTTTTAGCATGTGATGTTTCATGCATGTTTCATTCAGTGTTAAACCTGGTTAATGCGCTTTAAGCCTGTATATATCATGAATCCCTTTTATTGGCCCAACATCATAGGTGCGTCCTTTCTATTTTGACGAGCAGCTCCGGTTTTAGTAATATAAAAATAAGGAGATGTGGTATGATTGCCAATGAGACAACTATCCACCAAAGTTCAAAGAATGCTAACTTTACTAACTTCATTCGTTATGCTGTCGGTTTTTACTGGTTTTGGTGAGTGGCATTATAATGTTGATTTCACTTAGATGTTGTGTCTGTTATTGATATAAAATATTTCCATTGATGGTTAACTAGAGTTTACTTTATTTTCAATCGGGTACAAATAAATTATACGAATTATAAGAGTTGAGCAATTCAATTTATATAAAGACCTGATAGCACACAAAAAAAAACCAAAAGTAGTCTAGAGGTAAACAATACGCCGTGTCCAATGCTACATATTAGTACTGCGATCGAAATCATACGGGGACATCAAATTTTGTCGCTTTGGCAAGGTCAGTCAATAAATATCGCTTTGGCAAGGTCAGTCAATAAATATCGTCAAATATCTAATTATTTATAACCTTATAGTAAACAAACCATTTTACCGTCTTGGGTATATGCTCTTTGTTTTCACTTATTCAAATTTAGACCGCATAGATTCAAGAAATGTTTCTTCAGTAGCATGCAGCTTAAATGATAATGGGGAAAAAGACCATATGGGCTCGGTGTATATAACAAAATGTTTAACAGTATTTTTTTACCTATCCAATAAAAGCAATGGAGAGATGATGTGAGCAAAAATTCATATCTACATATGTCTACTTTTTGCCAGACCAAAACCATCTCGACAAGTGAAATGTGAATTTTCTTCAAATAATTTTCAGATAGAATCTTCAATCAACTCTCCTTCCATTAAATACAATCACTTGTTTGAAGCATATTATTTTTTGTAATACCACAAAGAAATGCAAGTTAATTTTGGAAAAATACTAAAATTTGAAAATCTTTTAATTAATGTATATTAATATTTGGAATATAATTTAAACAATACTTTACATCAAGAATATCTCCGAATGTACATGTGCTTGGAATATAAAACAACAATCCCAAAGTTCACTTATATCTATTGCCTGAAATGATGTTTGGCAATAGGTTGAATAATCATCATCAGATTTCAGGAAATAAGCTTAATGCCAAAAAAATTCAGGAATTGACTTAATGCCTAGGCGTTAGCTTATTGCCTAGGATTTAAGCTTTATGCCTAAATTCACTTATTGCCGCTTATATATATATCGACATTTCCCGCAAATTTGAAAGTTATAACTTTTGCTTGATTGAACCTCTATTATTTTGCGAAAACAGGTTACAGTTATATAACTGTTCACTATCAACCAGTACATTAAAAGAAAAATTAATGTTATCACTTTATAAATTCATTACGTTGCATCTTCAGTCTAAAAACGGTGGTCCATTTTATCAATTTAACCCAAACTGCATATGATTACAAAATCGTTTGACAGTTGATTTTAGTCAATAACTTAAATTTATTAAACATCGTTTATGTCAACACGATTGCAGATTTTAGTTCCAGAACGATAAAATATAATAATGAGTTTCGTCCTGAATATGCTTGAAATATTTGCCACTGAACATTACACAAGCAAAAATTTGCTGTCCCCGTATGATGCCGATCCTAGTCCCTATATGTGACACTGGACACGGACGTACTGCAAATAATGGAAAGTATACGTCAACCTCTAAATCGCCTCGCGTCTGAAAAAAGTTGTGTGGACATTCAGCAGAGAATAGAAGAAAAAAAAAACTGCCATGAACACCAATATCCCTAAGAGACAAAACATAAAGATATAACAAAGCAACAGACACACGTATTTCCTGAATTATGACAGGCATATGATCATGTGGTGGGTTTATCTTCTTTTAATCAAATCAATATGAAATAAGATTCCAACTTGCGTTGAATGGTGTACAGTAAAATAACAATATTTTTCAGGTGATCTCGTTATTTTGAGAGATTATTGTACACGTTACAAGGAAAATGAAACAATCCCAAAAATCTATGGTATAGGTAGGCTTTGTCTGTCGGAAGGAACAGATACATTGTGTAAGGAATGGACATGTGCACAACCAAGCTGTAGCAACCCAGTGGTGAACCAGTTTGTAGAGTGCGGTTTATATTGTAAAGGTAAGCGTAATATTACGAGTCTGACATTCGCTTATGTTGTTCCTTTTATGATAAATAAATTTGAGACCGAACTAACATCTTAAATTTGAAAATGCTTGTAATCTTTACATTCGAAGGTTTTTTTTTTTAATGTTTTGAAAAATGAAATTTCCGGCGCAAACAATGAGTATGTTATTCATCCCTTTAGAGACGGGGGAATTGTGTTTTGAGAGAGTAGAGATGTTATCCATACACATCTTGAGTATTGCGTTCACAAGAGTCTTTATAGCGACATATTATATGCTTTACTATGATTAAGTTAAAAAAAAAAGCATTAAGTCGGTTAGCGAGAATTATGCCTTTTTATTTCAATATCAGGAACCTGCAATTATGGTGGTAAAGAACACATAAAAGGAAAGCCATTCTCTTCACCGTACGGTCAAGATACATGTTGGTGTGGTGAAAATAACGCAATATTTTGTACTCACCAGTTCCTGACCTTAGAAAATCTTTGCAATACCAAGAAAGAGCAACAAACTGATCTCTACTTTTCAACCACGAGACTTGGTACGTTATTATCCACATCACGGACAACAACGATGAGATTGGGTACATTAAAACCCACACCACGGACAACAACATCAACGTCATCAACAGAAGGTAGCTTTAAAAAAATCATTTTCTAAATATTAAATAGATTTTTAATTACATTATTTCAATGTGTTGTAAAACGTTTTTTCCAATCAAATTATATCAGTTTGCTTTTTCAATTTTTTTTTCAAAATGTACTGGTTTTATGATTTTTAAACTATGGCCATTTGAATGCATCTATCCCTCCGAACTTGAGATAAAGGATACAACAGACATAGTTAAGTCTGTCTCATATCTTGACTTACATCTAGAAATTGACAATGAGGTTCGGTTGAAAACAAAGCTTTACGATAAAAGAGATGATTTCAGCTTCCCAATTGTGAACTTTCCATTTCTATGTAGCATTATTCCAGCAGCGCCTGCATACGGAGTATATATCTCCCAGTTGATACGACATTCTAGGGTTTGTTTTCCCTATCGTGACTTTCTTGATAGAGGGTTGCTGCTCACAAGGAAGCTATTAAACCAAGAGTGCAAAGTAGTGAAGTTGAAATCATCCCTTCGTAAATTTTACGGACGCCAACTGACTGTTATGGAAAATCCGTTTCACAGATGATAGCACATATGTTCCTGATGTCGTAACTATAATCCCGCCCCCTTTTCCCGAATGTGACCTGCCGAATTAGACTTATTACTGGGTTTGTACATGAGCAACACGACAGGATCTGCTTACCCTTCTGGAGCACCTGATATCACCCCCAGTTTTTGGTGGGGTTCGTGTTGCTCAGTCTTTAGTTTTCTATGTTGTGTTTTGTGTACTATTGTTTGTCTTTTTGTCTGATGGTCTTTTTCTTATTTAACCATGGCGTTGTCAGTTTATTTTCGACTTATGAGTTTGAATGTCCCTTTGGTATCTTTCGCCTCTCTTTTAAAGAAAATAGGAACATATACAAAACACAACTTGAAATAAGTGAATAGTTTTCAGTCTTTTTAACACATAATTCTGCATGAAGACAGAAATTATTCTAATCTTTAGTTTCTATGAATATATATAATGATAGATACATTTCGTTTTTAAGTTTTTTTTTCGTTGCTCTTACTGTAAGTTTTTTTTAGTTGTTTTTGATTTTGTTCTTTAATTTATTTCACGTTTTGTGTATTTTGTTTATGTTTTTTTACAGTCCGCCATGATTGCAAACAATACACTGGAAACGATAGAATACCTATTAATGATGGTAAAAGCCGCATTTGTGTGCCACACGGTACCAGTACAGCATGTAAGGAATGGACATGTGCCACACCAAGTTGTCAACATCCGAAGTCCAGCGATCAAAGTACTTGTAAAGCCTATTGTCAAGGTAGTGTGAATACTATAAACAAATATGTGTATAGTGATTAACCAGTGTTTTTAATATAAAATTTAAGATTTATCAGGCCATTATTTTTTTTCGTTTGAATTGTTTTAAATTTGTCATTTTGTGGCCTTTTATAGCTTGCTATGCAGTATGGGTTTTGCTCATTGCTGAAGGTCGTATGGTGACCTATATAGTTGTTTTTAAAACTACTACTTGTGATTTAGAAGATCTTGGAAATGAGTTTCATTATATTATAAAGTGTAAAGATATGTCAGTAAAAAGAAACATGTATTTATAAAAAGTATGTAGCTCGTCCAAATATACTGTTGTCTAGGGAACTTAAGAATTTAACCATAAAATCTCAATTGAGAAAGCTGTATAAGTGTTAATAGTGTACATATTTTGCTCTGTGTATTCATGTATTTATGTCTGTATTTATTGATGACATATAGTGTCTGTGTGCCATTGAAATTGCAAAGGTTTGACCGAATAAAGATATATATATTATATATATATACTTCATGATGACATTTGATCTCTGGTGGAAGTTGTTTCATTAGCAATCATACCACATCATCTTATTTTAATATCGAGAGAATCATAAGGGAATAATTAAATTAAAAGCTGACCCCGTCTATGACATTTGTCGCACAACCATGATAATACATGAAAAAAAGATATATATAAAGCATAGATGTTATACTACGTAAGAAAGGAGGTGTCAATGTACGTCATAAGTCAAAAGACAGCAATCCAACTACAAAAAATAAAAAGACATTTGGATGTGTGCACTAAATTTGGAAATAGCTATAAGCTTTAATATTTTTTTTCTTTAGGAAATTGTAATTATGGCGGGAAGGAATATAAAGTTGGCGAGTCATTTACTTCACCAGATGGGGTTAACCAATGTTTTTGTGGAGAAAACAACTTGGTCATGTGTTCACAGTTCTCATACAATTCGCAGAGTTTGTGTAGCATTAGTTTGAAAGGTACATTAAAAACGAAACGAAGTATACTTCAAAGAGAGGAAAAAGATACCAGAGGGACATTCAAGCTCATAAGTCGAAAATAAACTGACAACGCCATGGCTAAAAAAAAGACACACAGACAAACAACAGTACACAAAACTCAACATAGAAAACCAAAGACTGAGCAACACGAACCCCATCAAAAACCGATGGTGATCTCATGTGCTCCTGAAGGGTAAGGAGAATCTGCTACACATATGGCACCCGTCGTGTTGCTCGTGTTAGTACAAACCCGGTGATAAGTCTAATTCTGTAGTCTAACCGCATTGATTGATTTAAATCACTATAAACTATCGCTTTACGTGTGCACCCGAGGGTACATAGTGAAAGACCAATGACACTTTCTCCGATTTTATCTAATTGCATTAACAAACTTATTTCAATTTGACATGTTTATATTCCTGAAAAGTTTAAGGTTGTGGTAATTTTGAGTTGCTATTCGATATAGGTGTTTGCAATGACTTTCAATGTGGCGAGGAGTTTGTGTGAATGCAACTACATTATATTGAAAATTCTCTTCTGCGTATTTTGGTGTTGTGTTATGAATTTCTACTGTATATCTCATTTTTTTAGCTTGCTTAAATCATAATACATCTTTAGTGTTTTTACATTTTAAAAAGAAATCGGAATATGACGGAAAAAATGGATATCGTAAGATGATAAATGTAAAACAGCAATAGTAAAGTCAACAAACAGCCACTTCGAATCAAAATCGTGTACATACGGTTAATAAAATGTTCTGCTCAACAAAATGCAGGTAACAATTCGCCGTGAACAAATGAAACAATGAATTATACGAAGATGTAACGAAATTAATGCTTTGTGAAATTTTATATGTCAAATGTCAATATGTATTTCATTTAAAAGTTTTTACATTTTTTCGTGGATATTATATTTCCAAATTATAAATTTTCTTTCGGTATATGAATGAAGAATTCTGTAGTTGATATAAAGCAAAAGCTAAGATTCCGGTCTCTAGTTTTCTAAACCTCTGGTTTTATGCGTTCCGCTTTAATGATTCGTTGTGGGAGAATTCAGTCAAAATAGAATAACAGTTTCTAATGACATGCTTCGATTTAATAGGTTTAGAAGCAGGAACTACATTACCCACAGAAGGAGCTAGTTCCTCAGAGGCAACAACAGCTGTAGAATGGATACATGTTCCAAGTAAGATGAATTACAAGTCTAAATGTCGCCAAAAAAACATCTCGATGTAAAAAGTTCACATGAAATCTATTTTGACACCACGCTCACTATATAGTGATTTCCTGTTCCTCTTAGCGTGTGTGTAATGAAAATGTGTTGCTTCGTTACCAAAACTGGCCACATAAGAACCACTAAAACAGTGCATGAAAAGAACAGAATAACCCGAGGGAACAAAAATGACCACAAAAGCTACCCCTACGAATTTGACATGTATAGGGACAACTTGGATCAATCCCTGTGGTTATCAATTGTTTTACGGTAGCAAATAGACAGACCCACACACATAGAAAAAATATAAAAATATACCATCAAAAAGTTTTAAAATACCTAAAGATCATAGGTCATACGCATTTCAAAGACCTATAAAATTACAAAAAGAAACATTCGATGCTTAAAATTACATTTTTATGCTACAACTGTGAAATTACGAGTTATATAAACTAAAATCGTTTGTTTTCCTATGCATTGCAGTGGCGTTGTCAAGGGAAGCATGTGCTGTCATAAATGTTGCATTTTATTGGGAAATAAAATCTAATTTTTAAATGTTTCTCGATTGTTATCAGCCAATCAAAAGTTCAAATTCTTACAAAGCATACGTGTAATGTAATTATAAAAATTAAACATGGTAAAGTATACCTTTGAGAGTACACTCTTTGTCCACATCTTGACTGGTTAACTGTACAGTCTTCTTTCGAAACATATGTGCAGCGGAATTCGCTGTAGAGGAAACCAGAGAAGATATTCATAAACAATAATAAAAAAAACCATGACAATGTAATAAATAATGATAATACAGGATACCACTTTTCCTATGTCCTGATAATTACTATTGTCAGAAAAAAATACATGATTTATCTTCGCTAGCCAAAGAGGATCGAGGGAAGGTTAGGGGTTAAAATAAAGTTGTCTCTTAACCTTTAGTTACCTTAGAGCTAGCTTAGAGAAAAGATTATAACGAATTGCAAGCCCTGACAAGAGAAGGAGGGGGATGTAAATTAATTAAAGTGTAGTTCATAAAGAATTTGTGTTTTCGGAAATGATGTGCTGAACTGATTTTTTTCTTTTAAATTAAGCAGCAAAGCCGATAACCAGGGGACCAGTAATAACACACCATGCAGGGTCATCGGTTAAACGAACGACAGGTTGGCTTCATATTGCAGGTATAGAGATTATAAAACACATTGAATTGTTTCTAATTGGATTAATTAACATATACTGATATACGATTATTTACTAAATGAACCATGAAAAAAAATAAATTGTAAATTATTATAATTGTGTATACAACGAAAGAATTAAAAATTCAGGAGTAGTAATAAAAATTAAATGCTTATTACGAAGGAGTAATTAAGTGACAGCTCTGTCAATGCAATATAATGTATTTGTGTAACTGAAGAAAGAACGAGATTTTTCTAAGAATGCTAACTATACACATTTGACAGCATAATTTAAACTGTTATCAAGTGTTCTTCAATGCAGGTGCGTTTTGTGTCATTGTGGCGGAAGGCTTTATGTGCGAAAGATATATCCTTTCTTATTTCTTGGGTAAATTAATCTGAAATATACCATTTATCAAAGTTTATACAGAGATATTAAAAGCGAAAACATGTAAAAATGCAAGTATCATGTTGTCCTTAAGTGAATTATTGCCTGTGGAAGAACACTATTATTTGGGGTTTTTTCACTGATTTAGTCGATTTTATTTTCACAGGATAATAAATTAGACCAGAACTGGCAAAGAAAGAATTATTCTTGGTTCTTGGTTTAACCAATGACCAACAAAAATGACGACAGTTATAACAGCATCCTTGGTGTTGACTGTGCAATATTTGTTTTTAATAAAGTTATTAGTTGCCAACCAATCTATTTCATTATCAACGAAAGAAGCTGCTTTAATAGGATCTTACCCGAAAATAAAATGTTAATATGATGATTCTTTGGGACGAATAGTGGGCAAACTGTATTTTGTTTTCATTCACACTACCCCTAAAACGATTAACAATTCTGAAGGTTAGGGAAATGGTAATAAAAAAACTTAATAATAACCCGGATAAAAATTAATACCACTTATTCATTGAAACGTTGAAAAGTGTCATGTATTCATATTTTGGCAAGGTTGGGTGGATTAGTGTTTAAAGTCCATTGGCAAATATTACATGCATATAAGTACAATAACAGATATAGGCGAAGTATTCGTTAAATGAAAATATTTCGGATTTTAATGAAATTTTATTTGCATTAAGAACACGTTAAACGGCATCTGAATGTCGAAAAAAAATATATGTGGCATTTATATATCAAGATGACCCCTGATATGTTCATTTCATTAAAAATCCTAAATATTCCCCTTATACTTCGCCTTTAAGCATGTGTATAGCTGTACGGTGACCATAATTTTTCAATTGTCGCAATGGCAACCACACAACATCTCCTTACTTTTTTTGGTAACAAAACAGAAATGAAAATTATACGTAAAACGAATTTCTGTAAGAATTCTGTACACAATAAAAACTAGAGGCTCTCAAGAGCCTGTGTTGCTCACCTGTATCTACTGTGTTTTTGGAAATCATGTTAAAATCATAATAAATATTATTAGATACCCTCATAATGATTGAGGCCAAGTTAGGTTTACTTTGGCCCAGTAGTTAAATTTAAGGCAGGTCATTGCTTGGCCTTTATCATCATTAGGGTATCTAGTTTAAAAAAAGTGTCCGATAACCCCGCCTGCCAACCAACATGACCGACATGGCTAAAAATAGAACATGGGGGTAAAATGCAGGTTTTGGCTTATATCTCTGAAACTCTTCAGGTTTAGATCTATCTGCCCTGAAATTTTCAGACGCATCAGACAACCCGTTGTTTGCTGCCCCTGAATTGGTAATTTTAAGGAAATTTTGCAGTTTTTGGTTATTTTAGTCTTACAATAGTTACTGAAGACCCCTTATCATCATTTAAATTAGTTTTCAAGTTGTGACCATTTGTGTAATTGTTTTTTTGTACAATTTCCCCTTAGACTTCTAAAGTAAACCCCTATGTTCTGTTCTTATCCATGGCGGCCATGTTGGTTGGATGACAGGGTCATCAGATACATTTTTCAATCAAGGTACCCTATTGAAAATTGTGGCTAAGTTTAATTCTATTTGGCCCAGTAGATTAAGTGGAGAAGATTTTTTTAAAAGATTACAAAAATTTACGAAAAATTGACTATAAAGGGCAATAACTCCTTAAGGGGTCAATTGAAAATTTTTATCATATTGACTTAATCGATGAAATATTCCTTTGATATATATCTCCATTTAAACAATAACCAAATACAAAAAGGCATGTTTGTTTCTTTAACTACTATAATTAGTTCCCAAAAAGCTATGCCTCTGTTGTTGTATTGCCACCTTACACCCAGTGCTGCATCAGAGAACATGCCTCAGAGATGAATGCAGCAGACGTTTGAAAAGCGGTCCCCTGTTAGTACGTAAAAATTATGAGATGTAAGAATAAATATATGAACAATAACATGTCACCGTTTGGGCTTGCATAGTAAGCAAAACCTATATTCTATAGCCAGCTAATCAGAAAAGGTCCGTTATGAATGCTGTTTACATATTTTTGTTACCCGTCTGTTCCCCATGTGAACTTTTATTCATGCAGATACTAATTCTATGTTTTTGTTCATAGGGAAAATTTATATTTCATTTCACTTCAAACATTTAATTGATACTTAATGAGGATTGATTACCAGGCAGTGTCTTCGTACACATCGTCCCCTAGACAGGTTTATGGCAAGTCATTATTATTCTATAAACCAGTCTACCAATAATGGATTCAAGAAGATGTTACTAGATGTTTGGGATATTTATAATAAAGATATTATCATTTGAACATTATTTAATACATTATTGTTAATGTTACATATTCTAATGGTAAGCGGACAAAAAGTCACAAATTTGATAGGAAACAAAGTCACAAGTAAATTGCTAATAATTGTTTGAATATATAAGAGGAAGTTCTTAAAATAACTTCTTCTTATTACAGGTAAGAATAAGGTGGTATGATTGTCAATGCAACAACTATCCACCAAAATTCTAATGAAGTGGATGTTAGAAGTTATAGGCAACCGTACGGCCTTCAGCAATGAGAAAAACCCATATCGTATAGTCGGCTATCAAAGGCATCGGCATAAAAAATATGAAACAATTCAATTGAGAAAACTAACGGCCTAATCTATAACAAAACAATTTACGAAAGACAAATATGACAGACATGAACCAACGACAACCACTGAACTGCAGGCTCCTGACTTGGGACAAGCACATAAAGAATTCATTTACAGTTTAAGAAATTGTTCATTAGCCTCGATAATTGATGCTTAATCAAATTTGTATTATGCAAAGAATATAATTCTTGGCACCATGAAGCCATTTTAAAAGTATCAAGCCACTTTGACAAATTGTTTTCCTAACAATTATTTGATCATTATATTTTTTGATTTTTTTTTTAGAATATTTTGTTTTACAAAGTTGCTTTATATTTAATTTTTCAAGAAAATACAAAAATATTTTAAAAATTAGTGTTTCTCATTCAAAGAAAAATAATCTCAAAACTGAATTGTGACTTTTTTGTCCTGTGACCTTTTTTCCGTGACTTTTTCGTCTGTTACTTTTTGTCCTGTGACTTTCTGTCTTAAGTAAAACTTTATTTTGATTCGGCATATTGACAAAGCATATTACAACATAAGCTCTAATGAGCTAAAACATTTGCAATAACAAGTAAAACAAGGCATGCATGCAGCATGCAAATAAAAGGTAATAAAACAGCATCACATTTAACTCTAGCAAATGTCATTCTAATCGCTGTATTCTGGTAAAGATGTCAGTTGTAAGAGATCCATAAAGCTTATGCTGCTTAGGTTCTGTTTTTATATATACCTAATAAAATTCAGACTCACTCATGGTGACATAGCTCCTTATGAGGCCTACGCAATAAAAATAAACACTTATAAATTGTTCATTTTTTCTTCTTTCGGTCAACAACCCTTTAAGCATTTTAATAATCCTGAGCCTGTATGATTGTTGTGGTGTTTCAAAGGAGGTAATTAATCTTCTAAAGCCCATCGCCTTAACAAAACACACCTGCCGCAGACTTTCAAATGTATTAAGAGATAGAATTTAGCAGCTTAATGTTTGAAAGTTTAATCTCAACCATATTTGATATATTTATCATGAGATATGGTCGTTTCACGGATAACGCTGATCAAGGATTTGTATATCAGTAAAATATACAATTGCCATGGCGTTGTCAGTTTATTTTCGACTTACGAGTTTGAATATCACTTTAGTATCTTTCGCCTCTCTTTTGTAACGATAGAGTGGTTGCTTCGTTATAGATTGTCATATATTTTAAAGGAATAATCTTTATTGTCACATAAACAAACTAAACATGTTTGTGACAAAAAAATAACACATGGTAAACTTTGACATTTTGTTTTCATAACAATTATTTGATCATTATTGATATTTATTGAATAAATTTTAATTACAAAGTTGCTTCATATATAATAGTTCAAGAAAAAACAAAAATTTCATTTTTTAAATTAGTGTTTACTTGTTTACAGAAAAATAATCTCAAACTGAATTGTGACTTTTTGTCCTGTGACTTTCTGTCCTACATTCACACACATATATATGATTGAACATGAATCATTAATCATAAATATATGTATATAAAAAAATCCCCATTCTAATGACCTTTTCAAAATTGCCGATTAGTTTCACATGTTCTGTTGATATAGCTTTTAATAATTTAATATTTTTTATTGAAAAGTCTTTTAATTTAGAGAAAACTTTAATGTCATAATTAAGCGAAACAGTCCAAAAATAAAACACATATTTATAATATGAAAGGCCATTCATCATGGGAATCACAGATAAGTGCCAACAGGTTCTACACTTTAATTAATTGGATAAGTGGCTGCCAAATGTCTGCGTTAATTGCCAATGCATGGTAATTAAAATGATCAAATGCAACAGGTGTCATAATCTTGTCAAAGGTTTCCCTGTGGTGATTAAGAAACAATTTAAATTTAAGGGCATATAAATTATTTATAATTTTTCCGATAACAATGAATAATTAAGTTTAATCTTGTTTGTTTTTTAATTTTCCAAGATTACCACACAATGTTTAAAGAGATTTATTGCAGATTGCATTTTATGTACACGGGATATCAAGCGATAGCTGTCACTCTGCCTGTGGCAGATTTATCTAAATATTGCCAAATTACCGGAAATTATATAATCGATGTTGACCATTTGTTAAGCCATTTTCACTATAAGCGGGAAACGATGAGGACGCTACGCCGAGGAAGCAGGGCTTTTAACGACAAAAGAACAGCACTTTTAACTGCAGAAAGACGTTTCAGAAGATCATGTGAACAAATTATATTGCTAAATCAAACTCTTGGGAATTTACAAACTAGATATGACAGAGCTAAAAAAGTTAATTTTCGCTCTTTCCGATATAATTTGAGACTTAGACTCGCTGTTGCGGAAGGTTTGAGGAATGTTTACTATGACTTTGCTCACGAAAAAGCTAAATTAGTGGCACAGCTGAGACAAGAACTGTTTGGAGAAATAGTGCATATAATTTCTGACCGTGAAGAAGCAGAAGATGGTGACCAAGAGGAGACGGAATTTGCACCAGAGTGACCAGAAAGATAAACTACAGGAATGGCATAATATACCAAAGGTCCTTTTAAGGACCAAACAAATATTTCGAAAAGAAATCTTATTGTTGTGTCGTGTTTATTTGTTCTGAAGGCGAGAAAATATTTAAAAACTTACCTTTATTATCATTTTT